TCTCTGATGCCACAGCAGGGGCTGTGGGCGACAGCAGCCTGTCTGTCTGCAAACAACTAGCGCTAGAAGGTATGACCCTTCAACAAGTGGCAGGAGTTCTGAGTGTTCCCTGGTTTCATTGCCTAATTTCTCAGAAACAGACAAAGTTTTGATTACACTTCTTAGGAAGATATTCAGAAATACTGGAATAGATCAGGCTTAGCATTCCAAATTACTGTGACGTGATATACAAAGGGCATATCTGTATGTAGAAATCTCCAGTCCTGTCCTCAGACTGCTGCTAAATGTATCTGACGTAAGAAATAGAAAGCTAAAACGAGAAAGTCTCCTCGCTTTTCCCCCCTTCATCAGTTTTGTCTCCTAGTTTCTTGTCCGTTCTCTGATCTTTATCACATAACTTTTTTCTCATGTTTTTTCTTTATTATTGGTGACACCTGCATTCTTTTTCTTCCAATTCCTTATTTTCTGCCTCTTCTATCATTCTCCAAACATTTGTCCTCCGTTTGTGCATGCAGTAATGAACTTATTCCTGCTTATTTCCTCATCTCCCAGCAAAGATGAAATGTGGAAATATGAATGCTGTCCCCTGACCATTCAGGGAGGTTTCATCAAACTCTTCTTGTTGCCATCTCTCTAGTGGTTCAGCCTTTGACCAAAACCCATTTTGATTTTCTTTTCCTGTGTGTTGTGAACATGTTAACTTATCTTCCTTGATTGGGTTGCCTAAAGTAAAAGTTTTTGGATAACTTTGATAACTTGCACCAGAAGCTTATTAACTTAAGGAGCATCCTTCTTTTGCTTAGATTCTAGCTCTGAGGAAGACAAGAAGGTAGAGAGTAAGCTCCCTGCTAAGCAGCCTCTGATAAAGAATCCTTCCAAACCAGCAAAGGTAGCTGCCAAGCCTGCACAAGCAAAGAAAGACTCCAGCTCCTCCTCGGACAGCTCAGGTATTGGGATAGGAGAAAATGAGAATTACTGCTTGTGCTTGTCTAGCATGTTTCTAGCCCAGGGCATTGAGGGTGCAGCTGAACAGAGTATAATTATTGCAGTGCTGTTCCAAGCAGCTAATGGTGCATCAACACTGATCTGCATGCTAGCTTCATGTTGAAGAAATTGGGCTTAGCCTTGACTGTGCTTTGCCATTCACTTCTAGATTCTGACAGCTCTGAAAATAAGGCCCCTGTGAAGCCCGCAACTAAAGCAGCACCCCCTGCAACTAAGAAGTCACAATCTACCTCAAAGAAAGCACAAAATAGCTCTGATTCAGATAGTAGCTCCAGCAGCTCTGAGGATGAGAAGAAGAAGAAGGCCACTCCAGCTAAATTAACTGGCAGAGCAGGCAAGCCGATGCCCAAGTCTTGCACCCCAGCTCCCAAAGCGAGCTCGTCAGACTCTGATAGCTCAAGCAGCGAGGAAGAGAAGAAGCCAACAGTGAAACCAGTCAGCAAATCTGCAGGGACCACAAAAGCAACTGTGGGGAAGAAGGTGGCTGCTGCTAACAGTAGTAGCAGCTCATCTGATAGCTCCAGTGAAGCAGATGAGAAGCCCAAAAAGGCAGGGAAAGGGGCACAGAACAGTTCTCAGACCACTGCTTCCACAGAGAAATCAAAAGCTTCATCCACATCAGCAACAAATAATCTGAAGTCTAAACCAGCTGGTGGCAGCAGTAGCAGCAGTGAAAGCAGCTCTGAAGGAGAGACGGGAAAAGCAAATGGAGGTACTACCTACAGGTTGGGAAGTGGGTCTGTCAGGCAGTGTGTAACTGAGCTGAAACATGGATGGGAAACTTAAATGATATTCAGTGAAATCTGTATGTGCTACTAGCTTATACCATCTGGTGCAGTACAGCTGTGGGATAGGTGTTAGTGGAATAAGTCTGCCTTTTTTCTTTCTGCGGTAATGCAGGAACTGATTCTTACCGCTGTATCTCAGCACTGGGTTTGCATTATGGGACAGCAATGCCATTACCTTTCCCAACATGGTAGTTACTCCCATTGAAGTTTTACTGATGTACTTCTAACAGGCATGATCAAGAAGAAACGGAAGAGGGAAGATGTCCAGGAGCCGGAAACACCAGACAGTAAAAAGGCTAAGATCAAAGCCAAAACACCACACACGTTTCCCAAGGTGAAACAGGTGAGTGAGGGTAGACCATGCTGACTGGTAGAGGGGCATCTTTGCCTATTGAACTAGTACTTTGTGTTGTTTTTCTTTGGGATTGAGCCTGCAGGAATTGTTTGTATTTTTGCCTCCTCCTCAGCCACTTCAAGAACTCTTTCCACAGAACCCTAGAAAATGCGTATATATGTGCGTAATATTATTCTGGCAAAGGTTAATTGGATATACTTGCCTAGGAGCATCCCTGTGCTGCTTGATCTGCAGAAGGGAAAGGGTTAGGAGTCTTAGAAATGATCAAGGATTGAGATTACCTGCACAGGTGTCCATATTTGCAGGGTTAGGAGGGAAGGTGGTTGTCACTAAAAGACCACGTGCCTGTATTCACTTACTGTATCTAGTTTTCTTTCTCTTCATAGCCAGCTTCTCCATTCCGACGAGTAAGAGAAGAAGAGATTGAGCTGGATGCCCGCGTTGCTGACAACTCGTTTGATGCAAAGGTAGGCCTAGGTAGTGCCAGAGTAATAACACTTACCTGGCCCCTGCAAATACAGGTCATCAGAGTGGCCTTGGTATGTTGGTGGGTAGTCCACTGGTGGGAATTTCTTCCACCAGGAGTTGCTGTTAGGAATGCATCAGCAGTGGTAGGAGATAAACGGGTGGTGCTGTAAGCCCCAGCCTTCCTCTCATGGGATTTGCTTGAGGGTCAAGTACAAAGCATTGTCTTTACTCTCTTGGGTGCTGACCTGAACCTCTTTTCTCCTCTCCCTCTTTGTGCCTCACAGAGAGGAGCTGCTGGTGACTGGGGTGAGAAGGCTAACAATATCCTGAAATTCACCAAAGGCAAATCTTTTCGCCATGAGAAGACGAAGAAAAAACGAGGCAGCTACCGTGGGGGCACTATATCAACTCAAGTCAACTCCATCAAGTTTGAAAGTGACTGAGAATGTCTCCTTGGGAATTCATAAACCGTCCGTTCACCAGAGTCGCTTGGATGGGCATTTGAACGTTATGGGCATCAATCCTGTCTGGAATGTTATCTCCCCCAGCCCCGTGTGGGGCAGGCAGCTCCAACATGGGGATATGGAAGAATGGTTGGACATTTCCCCCATTTATTTCTGGCTAATTCTGGTTTAGATCCCTAATAGGAAACCATCCGAGAACTGGTGTTTTTGGACACTACTCGGGTGACCTCCAAGATTTAAATTATGTACAGTCTTATTTTAAAAGGCTGGCAGTGAAATTTCATTTCAGATTTCTATCGAGTAAAGGAAAGAGAACTTATTTTCTGTAGCATAACTTCTCATTTCTTTTTCAGCTCGTTTAGCTTCAGATTCCTGTGAATTTGCAAGCACGGTAACTTGCCTTTGGCTAGTTACAATAAGAGCAACAACTCCCTTGAGCCCTCTGGCTGTAAACCCCACACCCATTTCACATTTGTAGTTCACAGTTGCAATATGACAGGGTTCCTCTTTTCTATTTCCTCTTTTTATGGTTTTATCTTGCAGTAAATTCACACCTTCCTCTTCCTTCTGTTCCTGTTGAGGCTACTAAGTAGAGTAGTTAGAGAAGCAGAGCATTCACACACCAGGATAGTCAAGGAATCATATTGCTTGGGGTTGCAAGTTGGTGGCTATTGTCAGAAAGGCCAAGTTCTGTAGTGCGGTGGCACTTTTGATAAGGTTTTTATTGTGAACGTGGCCAGGGCAGGGAGATGCACAGGAACTCCTGACTGTATGGAGGTTCTGACATTCGAAGAATGGTCTTTGGCCCAGTGGAAATGCTTAAAGAGGCAAAGGAGATGGTCTTTTTTTCTACCTGGCTCTGCTTCTTGTTGTCTTCGTTTCAGAGGCTTTGACTGCATTGCAGTGCTGCGCCTTGTTCTCTCTAAGCATATAACGTGTCAGCATATGCTTTTCTCCAGCAATATGCAGTGCAGCTCATGAAGAGCTGAGATGAATGTAACATTGATGCCTTAAATTTCTTCCCCTGGCTGGATAACTTGCTCTTTTTGAGCTGTTTTCTATCTGTAAAGTCCCTGTGAAGAAGTAAAATATTAGTTTCCTGTAGCACTGTGGTAAGTAAAGCCTGCTGTAAGGTTTGAAGCATTAGCTTAAAGCACAAGTTCTGTATCGGGAACGGGATCTCAAGTTCAGCAACTTGCAGCCTAAGCTGAGCTTTCATGGGCGACGGAGGTAGTCTAATGCCTTGCTGCTCTTGAAGGGAGGTCTTGCCCTTCCTCCAGTTGCTTGACCTTGCCTCTTTGCTATTTCTGGTGCAACTCAAATCTGGTAGAAAAATTGTTCCCCCACCACTTTTTTTTTTCTTCCTGTTAGCTGAGTTATTAAGTTAAAGATATTTATGGAGTAGTCTGAGCCCACAGCCAATATGAATTCAACAATGGTAGTGGGTATTTAGGAAAAGGGGTAGTAATGGGCTGTTAGATCTGCTCACCCCATCTCATGAAACCGTCAGCCACAAAGAGGGGTTATGCAGGGTCCGATTTCCATGTTTCCATTTGCTCCCAGCAGGATGACACAGAAACGAGCCTTGTTGTTACAGGAAGCCTCATATGTATGCAAAGCAATGTCAAGATAATTAATTGAGAGTTGGATGAGACTGATGAGCCGCCCCCATGCACGTTAGCTGCAACTTGTTTCGCTGAGCACTTTTCAGCACTTCCGCTCAGGCTTGCACAATCAGTTGGATTCTATGCAGCCATGCAGAGGGCCCCAGGAGACCATAGTTATCACAAAGACTTCAAGGTTAGAGGCCAAAGCAGGGTGAGAAGAAAATATTTTCAGCCTCCAGTGGGGATTAGAACAGAATCTTCATTGTGATTTGCCATTTGCCCTCTTCTGTCCTCCTTATTGGGAACTTTAAATTTGGAATTGTCAAGGTTAAACTTTTTAAAAAGTTTTATGTTTTTGGGGTATTTTATGTGTGAGCACACAAGTGTCTCAGAAAATAAAGGTAGCTGCCTTTGTAATCTGTGTGAATTTGACAGTTATAAGGCATGGAATAAGAGGGTGGGAGAAGGGAGGGTATCACTGTAAAGAGCAATGTGTTGCTGTGTCTGAAGGTGTACCAGTAAGTCTGTATCTGTCTACAACTGATTCTTATCCCTGCAGTTGTATGCTCATATGGATGTAATGGGCCATCAAAAGCAAAAGGTGCCTGGGCAGCCAGAAGCCAAGTGACTCTGAGAGAATTGGAGAACGTGGTCGTAGAAGAATATTTACTTTTACCAGGACAAACTGAGTTTTCTTGAGTCTCTTCATGCCAGAAGAATATGTAGTTCTTCTCCAGTATTACTGCCAAATTAGCTTTATGGTATCTGGCATGATAACTTGCATAGCACCAGCCTATGCAGTAAAAAACAATAGACATAACTGAAAATTCTGTATGTATCTGGTTAAAGTAATTTCTGTGTGTCCTTCGATTCCTCCCTGCTCTGCAACCATGTTTGCAGGATGAAGAAACCTGCTAATACTTTGGGCCTGATGGAGGTTCTGCATACCTTAATGTTCATTTTTTCCAGTGTACTACACCTCTAGAGAGAGGTTTGGGTGAACAGAATTGTCAGGGCAATTGGGGCATCAGTCATTCCATAGCTAAGGCCATCTGCCTCTGGAGCCATGGTCTTCCACCTCTAATGTGATGTTGTAGCAGACTGGTCTAACGCTGTCTGAAGTCTCAGCAGCCCATTCAAAGAAGAGTGCATTAGTCTCGCTGGAGATCGGTACCTGATGGAACAAGTGCAATAAGTGCTGGGGGAAGGAAATGCTTTGTGAGACTGTTGTCAAAGCTACATGCTCTACAGCCTACTTTCTGCTCCTAGAGAAAAGCTGCTCCCTTTGCATGTATTTTGCAGCTGCTGGGCAGACTTGCCTACAACTCAGTGCTCTGCTGATGTCTTAGTGAAAATGAGACATCTCTTGGAGCATTTAGGCCTAGTTTCCATGTGCATCATTAGTATAATTTCAGCTTCAGTGGAGCTGTGGTTAATTTTGGAACGGGACTAACAGGATGTCCCTCTCTGGGGAATGCACCTGTATGGGTGCCCTGGTGCAATGTCCTACCCCCCTAATTCCCTGTGTGCCATCGTTTCCATTTTGCTACCTTGAGAAACGTACGCAGGCTGAGAGCAGGACAGTTCCCTGTCCCCTTCCTCTCATGGACCCGGAGAGGGCATCCAGTTCCTGTGGGTCTCTGAGCAGGGACCAGCTCTGAGGTAACTCGAGAGCAGAAGTTGTAACACACCTAAAAGGAATCAAAAGTGGCAGCTGAGGTCTCCTCTGTACTACCTGGCCAGCCGCCGTCCCGCCCCCCGGGGCTGTGCGA